CATTGAAGAGAATAAGTTTTGACAAAGATTTCGGAATGTCTAAATGAGGCTGTTTTGTCTGGAGACGGGGTTGTAATAACTTTAAAWTGATCAAGTTTATTTAAAAATTCATTTTATTCAATGCTAAAAACAATGTCTCTTAGTTGAATAGATAAATCATCCTTCCACTGTATACTAAATGTATATCCATCCACCTCGTAGTTTGGTTTGTACTTCATGTAAGCAGGCTGRTTCATTYGAAAACTCATACATTTCTTATAAATAAATAAATAAAGTCTTTTATTTTGAGAGAGWAGMACGTAATTAGTCTCTAGACTAATAAACCTGTGGCCCTCTATATATTCACTCATACTCACTACCTTAACATTCATTATTTTACTACACGACACTCCTCACAGCTAGTTTTTGACTGAGGGAGGAAAACCAGCGGACCTGGAGAAAAACCCTCGGAGCAAGGAAGAGAACCAGCCTACAAACTCAAATCACATATAGTCCCGGACCGGGAATCGGAACCAGGACCACAGCGGTGATAGACCGGCGTTTTAACCGCTCGGCCATCCTTGCTCCCCTTATAAAACAAATCTGACCGAAAGTATCTCGAGCACTTTCGATACACCGAAGATTGGACGAAAAGTAACCGATGGTGACCGATGGTCTAATCGCTAAAACTACGGTCTTCGCTCGTGCGTTCGGTGTCATTTCCTGTACTTCGGAAAAGCGTTTGCAATCCTAAGCTCTTGGCCCTTCGGACCCCGAGCACTAAAGGAGCAAACATCATATTACCCATGATGCACCCACAATACTGACATGTAAGCAGCCAGAAAAGTCAATGTAAATGACTGATAATACATGCTCTTTCCTTATACTAACAGTATGTGGTAAACGGAGGGTGAAGCGTGTGATCGGTGGCAAGGAAGCTGTACCTCATTCGTGGCCATGGCAAGTTTTGATAGAGAAAAAAGGCAAAGCTGCTGACAAAATAGGGTTCGGACAGCATTGTGGAGGAACACTGATATCTAGACAATGGGTAGTTACCGCTGCACACTGTCTGTTTATGTCTCCTGACCCGTCAATGTACAGAATCAAGTTAGGTAGGTAGACCGTATTCAGTTTGTATATGTTGCCCCCGAAAAAGCCTAACCACTGAAAATGTATGTTTAKTCAAAGAGTGAGCAAAAACGATGATTTTGAGAGTTCAACGTCTATTCGCAAACTCCAGTGTATTTCATGTTCTTTCTGCAGGAGCCCACAATCGTTCAGAGAAAGAGGCAGCGGTTCAAACTTTTGGAATCGACAAAATGGACATCAATCGCCGCTTCCTCACGGACAAGGGGTATGGGTACGATATTGCCCTCATTAAACTGTCCAGACCCGCAGTACTTAATTTTGCCGTTGGCCTCGCATGTTTGCCAAAACAGGATGACCGTATTCCTGTGGGAACAACTTGCTACCTTACAGGTAGGTGTCTGTGCTGTGAGCCTTCGCTGGACTTCGCTAATTACCAATTTAATAAATTATTTTCACGTCTTTTTTKAAATGAACCATGACAGGTACAGCATTTTTAATCGAAGTTATCTGATATAATGATCTTAATTATTATTATGTACAAGGATGAAAATATATAGATAGTGTTATGAAATTAAAAACGTTTTCGACTATGAGTCATCTTCAGTTGTGTCTAAAAATCTTAATTATATTAATCAAATGCGATAGATATACTCTCTAAAAAGCCGGTAGAAATGCTAAACACGTTAAAAATAAAATATTTAAAATATTTAGTGAAATTAGCCAAAAGAAGCCATTGTCATTGTAGAGTGGTTTTCATTAACCCGTGAAACACWYTTTAGCGTATTTATCGCTATTATACTTTGGCTCTTTTGTTTTTTATTGTCTCTACGCGACTATTACGATCTATTACACTCTAATTATTACACCTTGTTTCACGGGTTTATGAAAACCACACTAAAAAGTAGTTATCGTTCAAAGATCATCTTCAAACTTCAATCTTCTAACTTGGGTGTCAGTAGTAAATTGAAGTCGTTTTCAGAATTTTCTGTATTTCTGAAGATTTTTGGTTGTGACATGACGCATTAGCTTTCGACAAAAAACTCACATGTCCATATTTTTTGCTGTATTGCAAAGAAGACATCAGTTTCATTCTTGTTATCAAAGGTCGTCTTGAACATAATGTAACAATTCACTCACAATGGAAATGAATTCATTTTCACGATTTCATGCGATTCATGCGATTTTCAACTCTTGGTTTTTGTCCATGAAGGTTCTATTTCTATTTTCGCGCGGTGTTAGGTTTCGGTCCATGAAAAATCGACTCGATGGTTTACCATTTTCTCTTTAGTTATCTTGCTCCACTCGAGCGGGCCGATCTCCGCTAAAAATTAATCGTGTTTCAGGTTGGGGAAAAACAGGGTTTACGCTTGGCAAAGCAATAAGTTTACARCAGACACCGTTGCCGATAGCTAGCTACAAGGACTGCAATGCAGGAAACTCTTGGTTTCAGCCGGTGGACGATACGTCTATGATATGTGCTGGTTTTGGAGGAAACACGACCATAAGTGGATGTAATGGYGATAGTGGAGGACCATTGATTTGCCAGGAAAGTAAGGAACCACTGTTAGTTAAATGTGTCGTGGTTTGATTTCCCTCCTTTTTTATGRGGATCAGAACTGGTGATCTTTTAAATATTGGGACATTTTAATCCAAAGACATTTCCTTATTTTTGTGTTTAACCCATTACTATACTTTGCGAAACAAGAAGTTGAGAGTTCCTAGTTTTCCCCTTAAAATATGTCGACATTAAATTTTCTGAAAAACATCGCCGCAATTAAATACACATCACATGGAGATAAATGAAAACTGTTTTTTTTTTGAATTTGCTGAAGCGTCGACGCTTATATTTTAACAAAATCCAGGTTATCTTCTGTTTGGCCTTGGTTTGGCGCTATATCCATTGTCTTCTGTTTGGCCTTGGTTTGGCGCTATATCCATTGTTAGGATGTTTCTCTTGCAATGGCAATTATTTCTAATATTTTCATTTTACGTCACGGCGGCCATATTGGCGGTTATTTGTTCAGGAAAATTTAATTAATATTTATATTACTGACAAAGCCGTCGCTCTATGTCTTCACAATCGAAAGCAATAGCTGACTTGCGAATTACGCATCAATAGTCACATACAAAGGAATCAAGACGAGGCGCCGTGCCAAAGACAATAGATTTTTCACAAAAAAGCACGGCGCATCGTCTTGATTCCTTTGTATGTGACTATTGATGCGTAATTCGCAAGTCGGCTATTGATTGAAAGCCAGCAATTCTTATTACCCTACGTTAAGCCCTTTCATAAGTMTTTGGCTTATATAGTGGTTTTGGGTATTTCAGATAGTCAGTGGGTGTTGAGAGGTGCAGTAAGCTGGGGTGATCCAAAGTGCCGTGCAGGAACCACTTACTCTGTGTTTGCAAGGGTGAGTACGTTTGTCAATTGGATCAATGATCNATGATTCAACCTTTGAGTGGTGAACTTACTGGAGAAGACTTGCTTACATCAGAGTACGCACTGGTATGTTAACTGTCATTTAAAATTTGTGTTACAATAATTATGCAATGGTGTTAAAATCAACCGTTCAAAAATGTACGATTCTCTACAGAAATGAGAAATCTTTACAAATCGATACTTCTACTAACCTCTATTTCACTTGAGGACAGGATATTTTACAGACCCTTGCTTGGGCGCCGAAAGTCCAGGGTTATGATTTTTCCGTTTAGTGGCGTTTTTGTATTGTTTTAAATTCCCTTGAGAAATAGAAGACGAACACTCCCTATTTCGTTATGACGTCACGTAAAACATTCTATTCTAACGCTGTGCATTATGGTCGCCAGAAGGGGTCGGAGTGACTGCATATCCATTGAAATGTACATGAGCAGTCTTTGATACATAATTTTTATAAAAACCTGATAAATTGAATTTCAACTTTTGGAGCAAAAATAATTGGCCCACATTTCCACTGCCTCCAACATCTTTCCACGATGTGACGTCATAAGGAAATAGAAGTTGCAATCATAGTTAGTACACTAGTAGAAACTGAAGCTCTGTCGACTGCACATGTTTCGTTGCAAATCCAGCCTCGATGTAATCAGGAACAATGGATACTGATACCTCTACTTACTGCCAATGCTTCATCTTTATCATAACAGGGGAGAAGCCCAAGAAAACAGCCTAAGTTCAAAAATAAGGTGTGTGTTGCCATATTGATCATTTTTAAAATAGGGATATTAAAAAGGAGGTGGGGGGAGGAACAAACTCTATTGTCCTTTATATACTTGGACCAGGAACCACTCAAGAATCACTTGAAAACTTGAACAAAACTGATGAGGTTCACCACTTGTTCCCAGTGCATCCAATCTCACTCAACCAATGACGACTCCAGATATCTTTAATTTCTACTTTTTATTTTTATGTATTCAATAATTAGTTTAGTTGTTAGCCTGATCTTCGCATGGGACTTAGAAGTTCATATGAAGTTATGACTTAAATAGATGGATGTYTAGATTTAAACATTTTTGTAAAGTTTTTTAATAAGAAAAAATAGATTTTCAAAATTGTATTAAAATATTTTTCAGCTGGCTAGTGACTTGGGTCCAGACCATCCTCTTACAAGACCTACAACACCAGGGTTTAAGYCTTCAGACTCCATTCAATCAGTACAAGGTATGTTTCCTTGATTTTGATCCATGATTTGTTTTTCCTTTGTAKATATCAAAGCCTCAAAAAGGGCCGGTTATTGTTTTGGAATTACTATCCCCACATTATTTACCATATTTCTAAAGTACCAGTCATAGCTCTTTATTTGACATTGATCGTTACAGATGTTGAGTCTAGACCAGGAACTACTACACTACAGCAAAGTCAGGTAAGAAAGTGTTAATCCAGTTTTAATGACCGGTGTCAATTCCACGGKTTTGACCAAAAAGGGAGTATGGATAAATAAACATGTTAGGGTTTGCACAARGCGAGAAATTATGAATAAATAGGCAAAAGTTTGTTTTGTGCAACAAAGCATGATGGAAGTTGAATATGAGGACTGCATGGCACTATGAGATACATGATATAGAAATAAAGGAAAGTAGTGCTTATATAGTGCTTAGAAGGAGGTTATTCCGGGCTTAAGACCGTTGGAAATAAATTCGTAAAAAATAATTTCCGACTGAATTCRAACCTACGACCTTCCAATTTGTACAACTGATGCTCTAGCATCGGAATAACTTTCTTCTAAGCACTATTACTTTATTTCTATATCATGATGGGAGTTGTGCTCATCCTACGACTACGTTTTCATGTCCGCTACAACAATCCGCCTAAGCCGTTTTTTGCTTTTTCTTAGTTTCCGACAATGGAATAGTTGCTCCGTTTCTACAAAGAAAACATAAAAAGGGGGCCATGAAAAAAACAACCACTAGAACTTTSATCATGTTTCCTTGCTTGCAAGATGGTGTCTCTGAAAATTGCCCACTGAAATATTTAAGTTMGAATCAATTGATCATATCGTTTAGTGGTGAGGCCCAGCACCCCATAAAAATACTTTCTATGATATTGATCGATGATAAAATTCATTTTGGTTTGAGGTTGTGATTAAATTTWAATCTCGAAAATTGTTACTCTGAAAAAGTTGGCCATGTCATTTTCAAAAAAGAATCAGCAGACGTAATTTCAAATGATTTGATTTTTAATTTAAAATAGGTTCGTCCCCCAACATCGTCCAATTCAAGGCCTTCATCAAGGTCCAGACCTCCTTCCAGCACTATGCCTCCTGGCTATAATGATGTAAGTATATTGTGGAGCCAATGATAGGACAAGAACTACACTTAATAAACTAACATCCCATAATTATTCGCTAAATGATTTTTATACTATTGTCTTTCATGATCAGAATGATCGAGGATCACAAAGCAGCAGACAGTCAGACAAGAAAGGGTAAATATTGTAAAATTGTAAACAGTCAAACAGTCAGACAAGAAAGGGTAAATATTGTAAAATTGTATTAAAACTTCCTTTAGATATTGCTGTGAAGTAGGCTTCTTGAAGCAAGTCAACAAATACTTCCAGTCCTTAGCTTTCCAGCGTTATTCGGTCGACGACATTGGATTTTGAGCATTGTATACTGCAACTATAATCTCAGTCAAAAAAACCCGAATAGATCGCATCAGCTATGATGTTAATATAAGTATTTTACTTCGAATCGAGAAAACCTTCAGTAGTTTTAAGTCGAAGAAAATTGGTCACTGTAATTTGAAAATGGCAAATTGCAGTAAAATAAGAGGTAGATAAGATTATCGCTCATTTATTTATGCGATCTCTTGTTTTCCAGGTCATCTCTTAAAGATCCTTTTGCATCCAGGCCTAAAATACCACGTGACATGAATGAACCACAGTCTCGAGGACCAGCTTCATCGACTCCGCCATTAGCGCGATCCATGTCACCAACCAGATCTTTATCCAGTACAAGCCGACCAGGTACATATTGCAGAGGGTTGGGGTGGGGTTAGAGGTGGAACGGGATGGTTGTAATTCGTAAATAGTTGTAATTTTGAATGGTTTATATTCACACCAATGCTGGTTGTCTTTCTTTCAGGATCTGGTCATCGAAAATAGATGTTGGAAAGCGTACAGCATCATGTATCTCAGGACAGACTAACAGTCTTTACGAGAGATTTTTAAATTATTTCATTCTATATTGAAAAAGAAATCGTCATCGTATAATTACAAATATCATTAATAATATATTGTAGATATTTCAGTCGTTGTTAATTACTGGTTGCCCGTGAAC